AGGCCAACAATTTACACATAAATAACAATAACAGATATATTTTTCAGTCAAGTTAATCATAATAATATCATTCCTGTTAAATTTCTGAAATCTAAGAAACATACTTGTGCCTGCAATTCCAATTTGGAACAGATGCAGCTTTTGCTGTGTACATACAAGAAGGCTGGTAACCAAAACAAAGCAATATTGATCTGTCCATATCCATATCACCCTCACTTGCATTGTACAAAAGTAACAATGTTATAGATTGTGAAGGATGATGATATCAACTTCACTACAACACAGAACTGATTCATACTTGCCCTCAGGTGCATAGCAAAAAATGGAATGCAAAATACTTTCCCATACTCCATTATACCAAACACACTTACAAATTTATCAATTATACTGCCAAACAAAAAAAAAAAGTAAATGTGTAAGTTTTTAAGATTGTTGCAAAAAAGGCCAATTTAACACAGAACCAACACACACAATTTGCAAGTTCTTGCATCAAAACTCAGATGATTTACTTTATACAATCCTCATGGAGACTGCATACTGAGTTCAAGTATTCATTTAAAACATACAACTTGCAAAACGAAAGAAAGATCGACACTCTAAACACATGCGAACAAACCAGCCTCGTGTGCATTCACAATCGACACAAATTAGCCATTGTGTCAACAAGGAAAGTTGAAAACCTGACCAAAACCAGATGAAGGATCGGTACTTGAAACACACACAACCTAAATATCATAAAAGCCACATTATACGTGCACGAAAACTAGCAAATGCACTAAAAGCCCCTTCCCAATTGCACAACTGATCATTTTAGTAACCAAGATGCCTCACCAGAACTCATGCTTTACCTGACTCAAACAAAAACAGAATTCAAAGTATGATTAAATTTCAATATATGTAAAGAAAAAGGTAAATAGAAAGGGTACTTCTATTTTGAGTACTCAACTAAAAACAGATGAACACAATATTTGCTTTCAGATAGAAATGGTTCAAAAACGCAACTTCTTTTGTAATTTGGGGATTTGAAAATTCCCATTATCGGCCAGTATGAACCTAGGGTTTCGAAAAGCAACAAGATGATGAAAATCGAACTATTCCCACTCACAGATTGAAAAAAATATGAAATACGAACTAACAATCTCAAATTTATCATAATTCGAGAAAAGGAGAGGAAAATCAAACCCATCGTTCTTCAACAATCGCAGAAAACAAACAATTCCGATGTCCAGAACGGAGAGAACAGACAATTTCTTACCTTTCTACGCGAATCCGGTATGTTCTTCGCACGGTCTTCACTCCATCGTTCTTCGATAAAAATCGCGCACGGTTTTGAAGATGGAGAAGGATGAAAAAAGATTCTGAAGAATGGAAATGTGATATCGATTTTGATACATACAGACATGAGGACAAATTTGTCTTTGGATTGTGTAACCTGCAAATTAATCCATCGAAGTAAATATGGGATACAAGTATGCAAATCGCCAAATCCCATTCTACAATGTAAACAAGGGATTGATTGCTAACATGTAAAGTTAAGTTGGATAACTTATATTATCCCATCCTGCAAAGTAAATGACCCCTTAAAGTATACCCATGTTGTAATATAAAGTCAAAACAATGTTGGAAGGCTTTTGAATTATCTAATTTCGAATTAACTAAATTAATTAATTTAAATGTTTAATTCCATTAAATCTTCAATCCATGTAGTATTTTTGTAATCAATTTATACACTATTTTACTAATAAATTATTTAATATCTATGTACAAGGAGGTCTTTAATAATATATGATTGTTTCTTTGTCGAATATTATTTTATTGTATAATTTTCCTGCGTATTATAAAACTTTTATTGAATATTGCATCTTATAATATAATATTCCCCAAATAAATATATTTCGTATTTCGCACAGGTCCCGTACTATATATATCTTGTACATTTTTTTATTCATTTATATAATTATAAGACTGGATAAATAACTTAAAATTGTGCACCACGTGTATCGCACGAGCTCTGTATTAGTTGGTATAAAATTGGCAAAGATGCAAATAAAATTTGCCCTATGGTAAAATTATAGTTTTTTTTTTTTTTTTTTTTTTTTT